TCTTGGTTTGTTTAACCATCGCTTACTAAATAAACCATAGTGGTTGGCCTTCTGAGCCAAAACCCATGGTTTACAAAGCAGTGGCTGGATTTATACAATATGCTAAACCAAAACAAGAGCAACTTCATTATGGCTTAGTGTGATGTACAAATCTAGCTACTCTCTCTTGTTCAGCAAGCCAGAAAGTTCAGCCAAGAGAGAAATGGATTCTTTGCAGTTAGCACCAAACATTTACTGCTATTAAAAAGTAACTCCAGATGCCTCAGCCATAATAGATCTGTATTTCCAATAAATATATATATGATCCTTTGGGTACGAAACAAAGTGCTGAAGGGGAGTGTCCTTTTCTGCCACTGTAATGTAGAGACAAATTGCATTTAGACTGCACACAGACAATAGGTACAAGCAGGAGAGTTGATGAGACAAAAAGTTCTGACACTACTTGAAATGTGGGTAGCCCAATAGTTTACACAGGAAAATCTTGTAGGTGATTTCTTTTCCTACCCATACAGGCAGAGTACTGTAAAGAGCCACTTGGCAATTATCAGTATGGTGCTTTATCCATCGGTGAGTCAGCTTTCTCTTCTAAATCAGCTGTGTTCACTGTCTTAACCAAGCAGGGAAAATGGGAGCTGGGTTGATCTGGACATAAGAGGATAGCTGTTTCCACTCTTTGGTTCCGAATCATTTTCTGGTTAGTGTGAGAAAATTTAAATAATATAGAACTAATTTTATTTGAAGTCAGTATCCTTGATACATTCTGATTACAAATACTAGGTAGGGATTACTAAGTATTACCTCCAGGTTAGAGTTAATGGTACAGGAATCAACATCAAAACAAGATTAACCACAGAGGAGATAGGAGGAAGTACTATTTTCTATATACTGGTATCATAACCAAGGTTATGAGGTGGAAAAACGACCTACTTCCTTTTGCTTATTTACTGCTAGTGATAACAAGTGATGCTTGAACCAAGAGGCTCTAGGAGAGAACAGCAATGAGCTCCAATTTTTAAGATCACATGCTGTTCTACTGGTCATTTTACTTAAATACTGTCCACATTACATATGTTGGTGTCTAAAACTTTCTGCCTCACAGCCTGATGAATTTTCTCTGTGCAGGATAAAATTCACCACTGGGAGGATCATGCTCATCTTATGTAGTAAAGGAATGTTTGGTTTCTTAAAGTAGTTTTTGTGATCTCTTTGGTGGATCAAGCTTACCGGGAAGACATGAAGAGGGCATACTCCAACAATAGTAAGGTGTACATGGCTATTTTAATTTTGCTAAATCAAAGTTTTCATGCAAGAAAACCCTATCGGTTGGTGTATATTTTCCTAAAAAATGGTTAGAAGTGACAGTCCTGCCTAAGTACTTTTTCTAGCAAATATTGAGAGCTAGAGCAGGGATTAAAAGTGTGGACACCCACACATGCAAATTCATACTTGCACACAAATGCATCATGAAACATCTATGGGCTGTTTTTACATTCTCACTTTAGTCCAGGCTTTCATTCTGCCTTCATTCAGCAATATTCAATCAAAATTGGAGGCTGAACGGCTGTTTAGGAACATAAAGCCCCTCGTTCGGTCCCTGGTATTTCTAGTTAATGGAGCTGAGACACCGGGCCAAGGAAAATCTTTGTCTTGTGATTTTAAAAAATCCCAGTGGCCAGGCAAAGTAGAGAATACTTAAAGCATCCCTTCCATCAAATGGGATAACGCAGTGGTGGCGAACCTATGGCACGCGTGCCAGAGGCGGCACTCAGAGCCCTCTCTGTGGGCACGCGCGCTGTCGCCCCAGTCCTAGGCCGTCAGTTGGGTTTTATAAAACCTTTTCGCTTTAGGCCTCTGCCGCCGTGTACCAAAAAAAAGGTTCAATCAATCAGTCAATTTCAACTTCTCGCGGGGAAAAAAAGATCTTGCAAAGTTGGAATTGATTGATTGAACTTTTTAGTCCCACCCAGTCTGCCGTTACCACCACAGCCATGCCCACCCAGTAGGCCACGCCCACCCAATTAGCCACACCTACCCGGCACCCGACGATGCATAAGTGGGTTTTGGGTTGCAGTTTGGGCACTCGGTCTCTAAAAGGTTCGCCATCACTGGGATAACGTATATTCTGAATGTGATAGGACTGGTACTGATGTATCCAGTGCAAATATTTGCGCAAAGGTTATTACACTGAGATTAAGCTGTGCTCCTGTATTATATATTTCTGTATTTTAATCATTTCTTAACTTAGATCTATGGCATTCAGGCTACAAAACTTTCTCCATACATATAACAATTAGGTACGAAGGGAGTTCTTCCACTCCTAAATTCCTTCTGAATGGGATGTATTCCAATAAATTAAATTAAGTCATAACATGACAAAAATGTAACCTATAACATTCTAGTGCAAGGTTCTTCTTTCTTCTTCCTTCTTTCCATAGCACTAGTCTTTAATCTGTTCTTATCTTGCTTTTAAGTAACTTCTAATCTTCTGGGAATTTTAGGAAATTAGCCTACTGCAAAGTTCAGAAGAGAGGAAATCCTGAACATGAAAATTGCCAAGATTCGACATGAACAGATTTACAAAAATTGGTCATTTCTAGTTCATTATTGCTAAACTTTCTCTGTGCTCACCATCACCCATGCAATTCTTTTCATTCACTTGCTTTTTTTTTTTTTTTAATAAAAATCATCCTTTCCTAACCCAATCCTTTTGTGAGTCTGCAGATATGTTTTTTTGATGGCCTATTTCTTTTGAGGTTTCATTCCTCCTAATATACTAAGAAAGAAATATTGGGTAATCCCAGAAGTAATCGGTGAAAGTTTATAGTAAATGTCAGCACTTAGCGAATCTTGATTTATCTTGAAAACACAACTGGACCTGGTTAGTACTTGGATGGAAGATTACTAGGAATTCCTAGAACTTTAAGTTAGATGAGAAGTTAAAAAAAAAAAACATTGTGGCAAAAGCAATGGAAACCATTTTTATACGGTTGCCAAAAAGAATGGACATATCCATGAAATCACCAGAAGCTAAGTGTGACTTAAGAGATATTTCTAAATAGATAAAGTGAGGGGATTAGCTTTTCTGGTTTAAGGATCACTTTGAGCTCCAGCAGCCCTAGATTAGTTCCCATATAAACCGATGGCAGAGCCTTGGTACTATGATCACACTTGCTATGGCTGTTTGGTCTTTAAGGGCGGTAACTGGATCCATTCACAGCTTTGTGCAAAACACTCTATGGCTTATTATGTCATATATGTCTATTATATTCTTCTGTCCTTCTCTATCCAGAAACAACCAATAATTTGTAACTAGCAATAGATTCTGAATCCAGAGCAAATGAAAATCTTTGCAGTGTGTTAAGGAATGTTCCTTTAATGAATTCCTTCTTATGACTCCATAGGCTTCCCAAGTCCATCTGTAATAAAGGGAACACTCTGAACTGGCCAGGATAAACAACATTCAGGGGTTTTTTTTTTGGGGGGGGGGAGAACCTGAGAAATGGTATTAGGAGCAAGATACATTCTTAGCTTGGATGATTTCACCCCATAAAGAGAATGTGGACTGAAGCATCACAATATTGTGAAAACAATCTTCTTATATCTTTGTTATTTCTATATTCCACCCCTTGGGAGGAAAAGCCAATTTAAACATAGGGAGGAAGGATTTTAAAAAAAATAATCAAACAGTTAGATAAGTGTCAAGCTGAATGTTGTTGGTTTTAGGAGGATGTTCAAAGTCTGTAGAAGCAGCTTCCAGAAAAAACTCTTCAGCTAGAATTGATCCTATCTACATATTACAAAGCTGTGTTGCATGGCTCCTGCTAAAATAGAATGGCTCATAAAATTCCCCCTTGCCCCAAACATCTGGAACATGTTTGGCCTCCTAAATGAACATGAGAAAAACTTGGCTGAAGATGATGAGGCATCAAATAGTTCTGGAGCTACATAGCCTGCCATAGTCTTGCTGAAGTTCTGAAAGGATGAGGAGATGTGCTAAAATTTGATATAATTTGACCATAATCTGTAACTGGAATCTAACTATTAAGCTGCCAATGCTGAAAGGGGAAGGCAGTAGATCTGCATCCAGCCATGTTGTGTTCTTGTTGTTGCTGCATTTTAGAGAAAGCAAGATAGGGATGCAGAATTCCAGCTTACCAGTTCCCAAGGCTGTTGGTTCTTTCTTGCAGTTTGATGCTCTGAAGTCTAAAATCTTTGGATTTAATTCCCTTTTCACTAAGCTCTTGATGGGAGAGAGGAAGAGAGAGCAGCATATCCATTTTCACTGCTATATATCCATTCTTTTCATCTTTTTTCACTGGCACAACACGCAAAACAGGCTTGCTTGCTAGAAAATATTTTGAGTTATGCCCTGAGAAATCTGGTATAGTGTAAATGTTCATTTGCTGCTTTAAAAAAAAAATGTTTGAGCAATAGTTAACAAAAAAAACTATTTTTCACAATGTCTTGGCTACTTAGGACTACCACTATAGCTGGAGCTATAGGGGATAATATGATTTAATTTAATTTGCATGAGAAATAGCTAAAATATGATTCCTAAGCTCATTTTATCCCTCCGAGGAGCAGATACTTCTGAAGGCTTATGGCTGTATTATAAAATGACACACAACATTCTGGCTGCAATAGGTGAACAGACCTGATCTGAATTTCATACTTGTATGGATATTTGGGAGCAAAATCCCCCAAGAAGGGGAATACAAGTGCAGTAACAGGATGCAGAAAATCTAGTTAATACTCTCGACTATTCATGTTTTGTCAGTGAGATGTTTGCAAGCTTCCAATGCAAAAGAACCAAAAGATCACATTCCAAAAACAAAAACAAAAACAAACCCCCCCCAAAAAACAGAAGGCTCAGAAACTGCTGCAGAGTAAGTTGAGACATCAGGTTTTCAACACTGGACACGACAAGAAGGGAACCAAACAGGAATGCTATTACAGACTGTGGCAGATTATAGTATAGTGCCTGACTTGATAAAGATGTGGATCTGTTCCTATTCTTTCCTTTCATAGCCTGAATGATCACAGCAGTCCAACTAATTCAGTCCCTGCCTTGTCCCTACTGCTTCCTCTCCCACCTTCATTTGGTGAGGGCCCCACAATGGGAGTGTCAGAGAAGACTGAGCTGACTGAATCTGGATCTGACAATTTTCTCTCTATCTTCTGGACTCCTTTGGGTGCATGTTTGGGGGAGTTGGTGGGTTTGCATTTGCCATTCTGGCCTTGGGCTCTGCTTGGCACTGTGTTCCGATTTAATCCTTCCTTGTCCCCAGTCACTTCAGCATTGTGATTTGGAGTGGTGCTGAGCACTGAAGAGTTGATACTGTCCTCTTGTTGGTTAGCCTGCTTCTCATTGCTGTGGCACCAGCAACGGCATGGAGTCAGATAAAGATAGATGAGCACAAGAATGACGCTCAGGATGCAGCCCACTAGCGTGGTATAGGCTGTGTTGAACATGTCTGGGGCTCCATGAAGGGTAAAGTTATGGACTGTGACTTGCACATAAAGGGTCTCATTGATCACCTGGCTTACTGCATGACAGGTATACAGACCCATATCCTCTATGCTGATATTACTTATCAGAAGGCTTCCATTTGGCAGCAGAGTAATGGAGTTATTATCATCCTCCTGTTGAACGTGCTCGTACCGGGGTGTCACCCATTCCGTAACTGTCACTTCTCGTTGCCTGGTATCACAATTGATGGTTACTGTGTCCCCACGGTGGAACTCTAGGGCTTGCTCCTTGAAGGCACTGCAGTTCATGCCCTCTGAATCATACAGGTTGGAAATTGTGACGTTTTTATTCTTGGTCTGATCCAAGCACTGGAGCTCTTCCTCAAAGTCCACAGCTGAGCTTAGCTGCCGTTTCTGCCAGTGGGTGAAGAGGTTGTAAAGCTCACAGTGGCAGCCGAGAGGGTTGCTGTGAACATAGAGGCCGTTCTTCATCCAGGCCGGGAGCCCACTGACCTCCTTCACCTGCAGGCTCTTGATCTTGTTGAAAGAAAGGTCCAGCAGTGCCAATTCGGGAAGCTTGGCCTCTCCTTTTTTTACCAGCTCCAGGGGGAAGCGGGAGATCTCATTATGGCTAAGGTACAGTTTCTGCAGGTTGGCCATATCATCAAAAGCCGAGCGGTCAATCTTGGAGATCTTGTTGCTATATAGGAGGAGCACCTCCAGCTCAGTCAGTTTGCTGAAGATGTTCTCTCCCAGCATATCAATGGCGTTGGAGGAGAGGTCCAAGTATTTCAGGTGGGGGACGTTGCTGAAGGCCTCGGTGGAGATGAAGAAAAGGCCATTGTGGCTGAGGAACAGCGAATGGAGATGAGAGAGCTGGATAGGGGTCCACTCTGCTCGAAGGTGGGTCAGCTGATTGTGGCTAAAGTCCAGGACAGCGGCGTAATGAGGAAGGTGGTGAGGGAAGACTTTCAGGTCGGCTTTGGAGCAGCTGATGAGGTTGCTGGCACACACACAATTCTTGGGGCAATTCAGTGCCAACCCCCCTTGCCGTCCAGTGCCCAAACTCAATAGCACCAGCAGCCAAGACGCTTGAAAGCTCCGAGCGAGGCATTGGCGGGACACCGGACCATCCTGAAACCACATTGTAAGACTCAGAGAGGAAGAAGAGTCAGGGTCCGGCTCTGGAGAAGAAGGTACGGAGGGGCAGGAACCATGGAGGTAGCAAGTGAGGGCCCTGGGACGGGGTCCACCCGGCGCTGGCAAGATCCGGGGTTTGCCAGAGCACTAAGCAGAGGACGGGAGCGAGGCCGAGGCGGGCAGAGGACCCGCTGCGCTCATCCCCCGAGCAGGACCGGCAGGATCCACCTGCTGCCAAGCGCGATCCGGAGGACGGCGAAGCCCAAGCCCCTCGTCGCCCGCTTCCTCCAGCCCCGTTGGGGGAAAGACGCCTCTCATGGACAGGGCAAGCCCGGCTCGCGCTTTTACGTCCGCTCCTCCCCTCCTCAGCCTGTCGGCCAAGCCCTGCAGCCGGCCACGCGGTGTTGCATTGCACCAACAGTCCCCCAAGCGGCAGCGCCAACCGCTCATTCACTCACCGGCCAACGAGCTCCCTCTTCCTCCGCCGCTCAGCCCATCCCGGCCGGTCGGTTCCCGCAGCGCTGGCTTCTCAGGCGGCCTCCTGCCGTCACAGAAAGGAGCAAGCGGGGCCGGGCTGCCGAGGAAGCCCGAGCGGGCAGCTCCTGTTCTGAAGGAGTCCGGAGCCGCTGCCGGTTCTCTCCGCCGGGCTTGGGAACGGAGGCTGCCCGAGAGCTTGTCCCGCGCGACCGGAGGGCTGGCGGGGCTCTGGAGGGCTTGCTGGCGGGGCTAGGCTGGAGAGTGCCGGGCAGGCTTCCGGCGGTGCGGAGCGGTCACCAGAGCAAAGACCCGGTGGGAGCCGGAAAGGTTAATCCAGGCTGGTTGACTGGGAGCAGGAAAGACGGGCGGGCAGGCAGGCTGCGCGCGCATGTGCGCGCGTCCCGGGAGTGCGATGGTCTTGCACACTAGCTCCTAGCACGCTCACGCTCACACCCACCCACCGCCTGTCAACGGAGGAGGAGGCTGGCCAAGTAGTCCTAGGGAGCGAGCCCCAACACACGCACACACACACACACACACACGTAGGCGCACCGCCGGCACTTTGGCAACCTGGAAGCTACTCCAAACTGCAGCCCAGGGACTCCGGTGCTAACGGGAGGCTCCCGGTGGAATGGGAAAGGTTGCCGAGACGGCGCCCTAGCTGCGTTGCGGACCCTCCCTTCACCTCCCTGCTAGAGGGCGGCCACTGGCGCAAGCCCCGACCTCGGATCCGAAGGCTCTTGTCGTCGGGGCCAAGGGAGAGGGTCCGCCGGCGGCCCTTGGCTTCCCGAGGCTGGGCTGGCTTGCTCGGCGAGAACAAGCCTCCTTCGGAAAAAAAGAGCCTGGCTTCATTCGCGCCAATTGTCTCTTGTTATTGTTTTGATTAAAAAAAAAAAAAAACGATATTCGCGAGGCGGGGGCTTAAGGGCGGGACGGGCGAGCGGACCGACCAGTCAAAAACCGCTGCCTCAGATAACGTTCGGGTTCGTAGGGTTCGATGGGCGCCCTCGAGCCAATTGAAGGAAGGCAAGTTGTTAACCAGTCCTTTTCCGGATTCCCTGCGATCGGCAGATCTCCCCGTGTGGGCGGTGAGGGGAAGAGAAGTCCTCGGGGCTTCGCAGCAGTTCCTCCGAGCAGCATCTTCGCGAGCGCGCTCTTAACTCGGGAAAAGCTCGGAGTGGGAAACTCAAGGGGGGGCGGGAATCGAGAAAAACGAAAGGATGGATCTAAAGGTCGGACAGGTGGCAAAAGATGCTTGGGATCGGTTTCCAGAGGCGTTTCTTTGACTGCCAATGCGTTAATTCTAACTTTTGCTCCACTTCAGGAGTATGAAGCCATTTAAAGCCTTGTCCTTAAAATTGAAAGTTGAAAAGGGAGGATTGTCTATATCAGTGGTTCTCAACCTTTTTAATGCCGTGACCCCCAACTGGCCGTAAGTCGAGGACTAAACTGGTCGTAAGTCGAGGACTACCCAACCGGTCGTAAGTCGAGGACTTTCCCTGCCCGGGAGCACCGCGCATGTGTGGTTCCGCCCCCTGCGCCGGCCGAGGCGTAGCTGGCAAGCGGCAGAGATGGCCCAGCTCAAGGGAGGTAAGGCACCCGCCGGAAAAGGGGAAAAAAATGGCGGACAGCCTTGCTTGGCGACCCCCGTGAAATGGTCGATCGACCCCAAATGGGGTCGCGACCCATAGGTTGAGAACCGCTGGTCTAAATACATAGACTGAATGATGTAGTAGACCACTACATATACCTTGGCCAACAGATCTCAATGGAAGGTGATACAATAAAGGAAATTGAATGGCGTGTTAGATGTGATTGGCAGGCATTCGGCAAGCTGAGCATAATTTTCGAGAGCAACCTCTCCCTATGCCTAAAGAGAAAAGTTTGTGCTACCTGCTCTAACATATGCCAGTGAGTCATGGACACTTGGCATGGATACAAAAGTTAAGAATGGCGCAAAGAGCCATGGAAAGATACATGCTTGGCATTACAAGGCAAGATAGACCCGCACATGGATTAGAGAGCAAACAAAAGTATACAATACCATCAAGAGAGTAAAAGAATTGAAATGGAAATGGGCTGGTCACACAGCAAGAAGAAGAGCTGATGGCAGGTGGACCAAGGCAGTCATAGAATAGATCCCGCTTGATAAAAAGCATCCACGAAAGAGACCTAAAACAAGATGGATCGACAACATCTTGGCAATTGGCAAAACAAAGCTCAGGACTGTATTGGTTGGAAACATGTGGAAGAGGCCTTCATCCTGCAGTGGATAGAAAATGGCTAGAATGATGAATAGTTGCATGGCTTTAACGGTGGGAATTACAGTTGTTGCACCTGGTACAGTATATCTACCTTGAGAATTTTTACTCATCTTTCTACCTGAATATTAAAAAATGAACAGTACTCTTAAAACTAAATGAAACAGTAGAAACCTTTTAACCCCCCATCTGTATCTGAGATGTTTCTCCGCTGCTGAGGTCTTCTCTGTTCATCTTAAGGTGACGTAAAGCTCTACCAGCATTACATCTGATCCTGTCTGACTTCTTTCTTGCCAACATTGCTTTAGTTTTGACTCACCACTTGGATGATGCTGACTTTTGGGACATGATAAGGGAAGTAATTGGTGGATTCTGCCGTAACTGCTCTCCTTTCTCTTTTGTATGTCAACAGCTGGGAAAAACATCTTGGAAAAGAACATGACTGGTTGCAGCACTTCATATACTCATACTGGGGTGTCCAAGGACATGGTAAAAAAAAATCAAGTGGTGGCCATTATAGTGTGAAATTATAGCACATGACCGCCACAAAAAACTCAGGCAGAGCTTCAACTGCACCATCATGGCCATATTCCATGGATCCCCTTGCCTCTCTATATAATTTCTAGGCTCCTTTTCCTAAAATCCATCAAAACCTGTGTTGAATAAAACTAAGCAACAGATAAAAGATCAGACTTCTGACCTGTCACACTGTACTTTGGATTTCTCTCACCAGCACAGCACTACTGCATCTAGCATGTTAGGGAGACAACAGCAGAATGGTAGCCAACAAAACAATCCAGAACCCAGAGGAAGGGGGCCTGCGCACATTAAGACTAAGGAGTAGCAAAGTGTAACAGATTGTGCACATCTTGCAACTGCTCTTGGATGCTATTGACTTAAGGAAGAAAATGTTGGTACAACTAAGGACGGCATAAGCTGCCTCAGTCATGGGCTGGGAATGAGATAAAACCAATGTCTTGGGGGAATGGCAAAGAACAAATGTTATCATGCGTTGCTATCCTATCCAAAATGATCCAAATTTAAAGCAGTCAAGCCTAATGATAGGTGTTACAAATCACTAGTGATGAAATCATGTTATCTGCCTCAGCAAACACCATCTGATGGTGTTTCATATCTATTGTATCTCCAGTAGCAAAGTACTATGAAGCAGGGACTCAGATGACTTCCCTATTAATCTTCTCTCTCTTTTATCATCACCCGGCCATCCCAGAAAGTGGGTAAAAAGTCTCTCATTACTGTTCTGTCAGCACAATGCTGGTTAGATGACTGTAGAACAGTGGTTCTCAACCTTTTTAATGCCGCGACCCCCAACCAGTCGTAAGTTGAGGACTAAACTGCTCGTAAGTCAAGGACTAAACCGGTCGTAAGTCAAGGACTAAACCGGTCGTAAGTCGAGGACTACCCAACCGGTCGTAAGTTGAGGACTTTCCCTGCCCGGGAGCGCCGCGCATGCGTGGTTCCGCCCCCTGTGCTGGCCGAGGCGTAGCTGGCAAGCGGCAGAGACGGAGCAGGCCGACCACCAGCTGGCCCAGCCCAAGGGAGGTAAGGCACCCGCCGGAAAAGGGGAAAAAAATGGCGGACAGCCTTGCTTGGCAACCCCCGTGAAATGGTCGATCGACCCCAAATGGGGTTGCGACCCATAGGTTGAGAACCGCTGCTCTAGAAAATACTATAAGTCACTAGCAGGGATCCTGCTTTAGAGCTGTTTGGCAAGTTCAAGTAGAGAAATATGATTTCCATGTTCTGATGCTATAATGCCAAACTTAGCATCCTGAAATGAGATGAAATCCAACTGAAAAGCAAATTATATAGCTGATGTGGCATACAGATAATACGCTCCCACCTACATATCCAATCAGATTTTCAGTCACTGTATTTTGAAGTAACTGAGGTTCTGCTGTTTCCATTCCTACCATATCTTTTAGGGATCTTACTTGACCTAGTTGAAAATTCTGAATTATGGGAATTGTAATCCCAGGTCCTCTGGAGGGGATTGTGGAAAGCTGGACCAGTGTCATAAAGGTTTTTGCCGGCTCAGGTGCTGAAAGGTATTCCTTATTATCACCAGACTCTTGCCTGGCTTCAAAAGCACCCTCAGTTTGCTTTCCAGGGAGGAATAAAACTGCCAAACAAGACTGTGGATCAACTACTTCTAGGTCAGTATTCATCAACTTGGTTCCCTCCAGGTATATTTGGATTTTGATTCCCACAATTCTCAGTCAACATAGAGGAGATGGGTTATTTAAA